TGTATTTTGGAAGAAATAGATATTCCCTAATTACACATTATTACTTAAATAGTATTTACAAATTTTTTAATCCAAAAAATATCTTAGGATTCGGCGATATTCGATAAGCAGAACGTTGATAACGCTCTAGTTCGTTAATCTAAATATTTTATAAAAAAATAATAGATAAATGCGTATTGTTAATATCATAGTCTGAGATGATAAATGGCCGAGACGTTTCTAAAATTAGAAACATAATACTAGGTGCATAGTAAAGCACCATAACAGTAATAGAATTAAGAATGATATCTAAAAAGGCTAATGTTCGGTTAGTAGATAGTTTCCAGTTATATATCAAAATATACCCATTTTTGATTAGGCTAACCTTATTACTGATATCTCTAATCTTGGTAAAGTTATACAATCCATTAGCTAAAACTTTAGGGTTGCCGTCATTAAGAAAAGTTAGATCTTGGATGAAAACACCTATTAAAGCAATAAGGATGAATCTTAAATCAGTTATAAATATAACGAGATTATAATAGTATCCTAAATAAATGCAAGCTAAGTAATTAATTGAATATAAATTCTAGCTGTTTGCATTACCAAAAAATGGAATGCATGGACAGCTGGTTGGGATATCAGCCAAGACTTTACGATAACTGATATAATTTCGATCAGGCTTCATAAAATCTTCCATTTCATTCAATAATTTAACATACTTATGGCCGACACACTACAAAAAACATAAATCAATCATAAGATGCGTAAGTAAAATTACAATAGCAGAGCAATAAGTTGCTAAGATTGGCGTAAATTACAGAATAATATCAAAAATTGAACTATATTCATAGTGCAAATGACAAGATGTAGATATCATGCATGGAACATTATTTCGAATTCTTTTATAAATGTATAAATATATATATACATATAAATGAAAAATTAGGAAAAGGAATATTACGTATAATAATAAGCTAACCTCCCAGGATTTCTTTAATGATCTTATCGGATGGATGTTAAGACCTCCAACTATACTAGCCATTGTACTGTAGTTGCGAATTATTTTACAATGCTAATATATCGGAAACAATTTTTAACATTATTTAGTAAAAATTTTTTGATAGTTTTAATGAGCCACGAAGCAATAAAGTTATCGTTACCTTTGCTATTTCAATAAATTTCTCCATAGCCTGAGCACGTCCTCGACAATCTAAAGTGCGACAAATTTCAGTTCCGACCCAATAACAAACTGTATTCCATCGCTTGATATAGGCATTCAAATTGCCAGCAATTTCAGCCTTGTCTTTATCATCTCTACATACTAAATATTATATATTAACCGGTTAATCCATAGACCTTTAAATAATTCATGAAATTGCTATACACTACTACCATTTCGTAGAACTGTGCTTATAATATTAGCATTCCAATTAATGATACATTATGAATGCTAATTGAATAGATTAAAAAGAAATAAAATATTTTACCTGATTTCGATCCCCATAGATGACATAAGACTTCATTTGGGCCGATTGATCTTAATATTTCCAAATCTATCAGAGTTAGCTAGCCAGAGTAAACAAATGAGTAAGTTAAGAAACTGAGAGTATTTTACGATGTACCTCGTTACTAGAAGTATACGCATAATTAAACTAATATATACCTATAAAACGAAAGGAAAATTTTACAGGTCCTATTTTGAGTTAAGTGTAACTATTTCTTTATCAACAGAAAATTGAAGAATAGAATTCTAATAACCTGTTCTGCAATTTGCTGCGCAGGTACTTGCATTATACATATTTTTTTAATATCTTTTATATTGGTTAATTTCGATTGTGTTGATGGGCCATACCAGGTTGCAGATGAATTTTCTGAATTATTACCGCTTGCGAGCTTTTTACTCTTTAAATCGGCAATACCTTTGGCAGCATTGTGAAACGCAGCATCAGAAACCAGTAAAGTTTCAACGAAGTCATCTACATGCTTTAACTGTAATATGTTTAAATTTATATAAGCATGGATTTTAAATAATTAGAATTATTATAAATCCTCTAAATTCTTTAAATTATGACACTTTTTAAATTAAGCTTAGTATGCATCTTAAGATCTGTATTCTTACACAGGAAAATATTTAATAGGATCAGATGTAGATTTATTACTAACCATAGACTCGTTTCCCTGAAAATCCCACCAACATCTTTCCATCCATTGCATCAAGGTATTGATAGTCCTAGTTGGAATAGTATATTAACTTTTATAACTTGATAGACTTAATAATATACTTAAATCTTGAGCATCAAAGAATTTATAACACTAATCTAACAAGCAACAGTGGCATTCTCTTGAGATACTAGTACAGTGTATTTTTAGAGATTTATATTATAAAAGATAATTCCTTTCATGTAATCAATTCCATTGGAGATAGATTGTTGTCAAGACAGCAAGAAAATTTTATGAAGTTTAGTCTTTGCTAATTTTCTTACCTTAATCTAATGACTAATCCCCATTTCTCGACGTATTCAAGCTCTTCTTGCGTTGCATCATAATGCAACATGACATTAAATGTAGTTACAGTTAAGAACAATAAATTTGTTTTTACTCGCTAAAGATCATTGCAGTCAATGATGGATTATTTACTATTATTACTTGTAAAATATCTAATGATAAAATATAGGAAATTAAGTTATTCATTAGAAACATATTATAGGATAAGAATAAAGTTTACGTGCTCTAGCTTAGCCAATTATTAAATTAGTAATTGGAAGGAAATAACACTATACATCATAAGTATCTCTAAGAAAGGACAAAAGTGCTAGAGTTCTACCAAATTACTTCATATTTCATTCCGCTGTAATTGATGTAGGTTTCAAAGTCTGAGCAATAATATCTTTAATCATCTTTCATTTATCGAATTCTAATATTGTAGTTGTCTTCCAAATAATTTCGACCTGGGTATAATTTTCAATAAGCTAACACAAACTCAACTCTAGCTACATATTAATTAATGCTGTGGTTATATTTATGCAAGTAATCCATAATTCATACATAGTATATTAAAGATATCGAGATAGCAGCATTTGTAGTACTGCTTCCGGTTTAGCAAAGTGTCGATAGCCAAGAAGGAAAGCTTTAACATAGCCGACGTCTACATAAAACAACAGAAGATAATTTTTGGCATATTTATTTCAATGCACGATAATTTACAAATGCTCACAGTATAACAAGGTTTTAATTCTATTTATTGTAAGTTATTACTTCTATTTTTAATATTGGAAATTAATAACTGGTATAGCAAAGCATTAATCTTTTATCACATTTTACCTGCACTGTCCTCACAGGTCAATTGTTCAACTAATTTTTCGATAGTTCCAGCTGCTACAATATATTTATCTTTCCTCCATGTTAGAATCATAGTTGGTTTATCCTCTGGTTAGATAAAATGATATTTATCAATTTTGTTTTACTTGCATTTCTTTTTTTTATATTTGCATATAATCATTTTTAGAAATATAGGACTAATAGATCACATCAAATCACAATAATAAACACAAAAAATAATAATTTTTACTGAAGTCGTATTTATCCTCATCAAAAAACTTTGACTTTAATCTTTCACAGTACGCCGAATATACTTGTATTGAAATCAAGATTGAAATATAAAATTACTATTGAGCATTTTCTGGTTTACTGCTATTTACCTTCTTTAAAGACAACATCTTGATTTTCTTTCGCAGTAGTAGCTTTAGGAGTGGCTGAACCTCGACGTGTAAAGAATCTTTGGGAAATAATCGGTGATTGTCCTATATTTTGATATTTTTGTATTGGAGTAAAAAAAACAAGAATTAATATCTAATAATAGATACAAGATTATAAAATTAAAATAATATCAATATAGCTCATTGTGATAAAATTTTATATCAGACACACGGCCAATTATCTATACTAATCCATCATCATATCACGTATCATTACTATTGTTGTCGTTGCTGTTATCATCGTATTAACTTTATTAATCATCAACACAATTTCTTTATTGGTATCATCATCATTGATAATTTATATCTATCTGTCTAAATTTAACTATTACTATGAACATCGTATATCACTTTTTTACAGTAAAATATTGCTTTCATATTTAGATTTCAGTATTATTCTTTAGTGATTATTTTTAATATCCCATCGTTAAATAATTAAAACCATAACTAGCTCATATAGGATTAAGTTACCCACTATATAATTTACTTAATGTCATCGAACAATACTCAAGTGTAAAACTCTATTCTACTAGTTTCTGTCAGAGGTGTAAAATTTGCATGTGAAAATTTTAAGAATGCTCATACATGAGAATTATCCAAAAATAAGGGACTCCTTCGAGATTAATTACCCAAAATCTATTATAAATTAGTTTTCAACAATATGGATGATTGTTTCCTATGATCGATAGTTTTACTACGTATACTTCTTTTCCAAGACGCATTTATAGTGGCTCCTGGGTAACTTGAATTTGCTCATATCGTTAATTTACATATCAGTGAGTGAGTTATAGTCTACAAACGAATAATGGATGTAATTAAAATTATCGATACTTTAATATCAATTTCATCTTGGAATCTCTGTTTTTCCATATATGGCAAGGTATTTACGTGATTTATTAAAAAACAAAATCATTAATTAATTAACATTATGTTATGAGTAAAAATATATCAATCAGTTGCACTTTAAAAAACTAAAGCTTTAAGCATATCTTATGCTTATCTATTGGACCGATCAAATCTAGGCGATACGTTGTGATTGAATATAGTCATTTTTTAGTACTACCGTAGTTTAGTGTAAAATCAGCAACTCTAATTTCCTAAATATACAATGATAATATTACAGCTTCGAGTGTGATATAGGTATACCTAAATAAGACTATTCTCATGTGTTAAAAAGTCTAAGCAAAAGCAACGTGCATGAAAATGTGTTGAAGCTGAATAAAAAGCCTACGATTTTAATTAATGAACCTATCTTAGTGCTTAATTATATTTATTATTTTTTTAAATTTGTAGATTTAATTTTCTCTTGCGCAAGCTTATTCTTATTGAAAAGATAATTATTACAGGTAGATATTATAATCACTACGATGATAGAAAAACTAATTAAAAACCGGATTAATCTATCGTCTTTATTAAAGCCCCTCTTGTTAGAAATTCAGAAGAAAGTCTTCTTATCTTAATAAGAGACTCCTTCGAAATCCTACTTTCTTTCTATTGCTATGTTGATAACTATCGTAAACTACACACGAAAGAAATTAATATCCATTTAATAACAATATTATAAATAAAAGCTCATCGGTAAGTAGACTTCTTTATTATGTTAATAAGTACTAATTCAGCAAAATCTTTATTCTTTATATTAAGTGAGTGAAAATTTTACCGAACTAGTACTTTATAGTGATAGTTATTGCTTAACAACTTACTTGGAGAGGAAGACGGTGATCGCATATTTACGGAAGCCGCAACATTTAATAAAGCTTTTTGATTAGCGTGAGTAATCTAATCGCCGATATCAAAAAAAAATTTAATATTTACGAACAGAAAACGCGTTGTCCTGGCTAGCAGGAAATAAAGCATTAGAATGCCTTATAAATACAATATAGGTAAAATAAAAAATTAGGAGTTAAAGAAATAAAAAAATACTAGGAAAGAATAAACCAATGTATAAATTTGAAATTGCATCTATAATGTATTAGCATTCAGATTAGACTGACATTGGTTTATTAGAAATAGAAACCACAACGAGATAAGCCTATACTAATATCCGAACATCAATTACGGAGTTATGCTCTAAAAGTATAAATATGATGTAGTTAATATAGCATAAAATTTTTAAGAATTAAATAACGATACAAAGGAAGCTAGTAAATTAGAGGATATACGTCAAGAATGTAGAGAAATTCTGGAAATACTAGCATCGAATTGACGGCTTTGCTGACAATTTACTCTATTTATCTCCGATAGATACAAGTCTAGAAATGGCTACTGGCTCATAACCAGTTATAATTAAAACTGTACTTCTTCAATATACTAGCAAGAAAAAGAGAGTATGGATATGTAGCATTGGAATAAATATGACTTTAAATCTAATACAATAAGCTAATCAGGTACATGACTACTAAAAATGAAAGCTTTTATCCTCTACAATCATCTATTAAACGGCATCGGTAAAATTTTGTTTTAAAATTAAATTACAATACATTAAGCTATACATCGTTAAATGGAAATAGGTCATAAAATTTCAGTCAGAGTTTTATGATAAGAAAATAAAATTACGCGTTAACCCTATTTATCATTCTGTACACTTTGAAGGAATCATAACTTTTAAATTAAAAATATAAGATAAAGCTTACATTGTATAAATCCACAGCCGATGATGCACGATGTTCTAAATTAGCTTCGTCATAAGAACCTAATGGGAAATTTTATATTAAAAAATGTAACTTATTATGGTATCAAATCGTTAAAGTAGAGAAACATTAGACCATTATCTATGATGAGCTAGACAGCTACTTTTATGCAGCCATAAATCAAGAAAATATACAAAGATGGTAAGATTTTCTATTTCAAACATACGGTCTGCTTGTTGATCTGGCATTAGAAATTCGACTACGCAATCACTAGTTCGAAGTTTCGGATTGGAGGTAACAAATTTGAGGATGCCTTCAACCTAATTGAATATAGAATCAGGATATTAAAATGACTAGTTTAAACTTCTATTTTTAATTCCACTCCTAGATAATGTCTTGAAGAAAATTTATTTCCAAATTTTAACAAGATTGATGTATTTTCTCAATTATATTAGAAAAAAACAAGTTCAAAACACCAAGTATTGAGAATAAAAATTATCTACTCAATTCAATAAGACTGATTGAATGAAAATTAATAGGGCTCATTTGATGTTAAAGACTGATGATTAATTTTTAATTTAGTATCCAGTCATGTAATATTACGAGCAGATAGCTGAAAAATGAAAATATCAAACATCGGACTGAATTTTATATCATAATGCCGATGTTAACGTTAAAAAGTTTCCGTCCCATAGATTATTGCAACTTTTTATATCCGTTTAAAAATTGGCAGCTAGAAGGTGTAGACTAATAAACTATAACTATAATGAACAACATTTATCGTTCAAAAGTACTCTAAATTATCGTAGCTGTAATCTATTCAGGCCAAAATGGAAAAAAAGGCAAGAGCTCAAGCACATAAAGACTAGGATTAATTCTAGTCATTCCAAACTACTCCAGATTGCCAGAGTTTTACGTATATCCACTTAGGCAATAAAAAATGAAGGCCACAAGTGCATAATGATTATCAATACCTATCGCTTAGAATAGTTTAATCTTTATTAAAAAGTTCTATTCGTGAGACTAAATTGGCATCAGTAAATTAAGAGCCAATAAATCAAAATACTGTCAATTTATATATAGTTGAATAAAAGAGAAAAATAGCTATAGCTGATATACTAGCATAAAGTGACAAACTTTTAACATTGAATCGATTTTAAACTAATACAATTTTATACCTTTTGCAGTTGCTTTTGCTTGTCTTTGCTGAAAAATCGCTTAATTGGCTTACTTGGTAGTGGCCCTGTATCGAACGACATGATGATTCTTGATTAGTAGCTGATAATTTCTTTTTTACGGGAAGGGGGTAGGAATAATAGAACGAACGGCAATAATCCTTGTAGCAGTCGTACTTAATGACTACTCTTGTAGGCAATTTTAATTTGTAACAGAAATAGTTTTACAATACCCAGGAGTTTATGCTACTTTTTAGGAAAGCAAGATTACTATAACCAATTAGATAGACTAAAAATGGACAGACGATTTTCCTTAAATATATAGTAGTTTGCATTCTTTTAATCGTTGTCTATATTTATTCATATCATAACAGTAAAGCATTGATGCTAATATCGATTAATAGAGAGACAAAGTTTTATAATGACAAAGCAGACATCATGAATATTATATAATTAGAGATGATTGTACACGACGATATTGACAACATAATTCAACAACAATTATAGTCCTACTTGTAATCTTGATAGTGAAGAGACATTGATTTTTCTGATGACAATTCTTACCTTCATGGTCAATTTTGGATAGTTTATCGTACAACTTGCAAATTTGCTTGAATTTTCTTATTATAGTATAGGATAGACTTTGGGCCTAGATTGAAATGATAAATCAATGTCTTAAATAGGAGAAAACGTTTCTCAAATGATTTTCTATTGGTTCATCTAGCCCTATATTTGTCTGTTTTCATATCGTCTGGATACAATATTCATGCTTAAGATTTAAAGTCTTTTGCATTTCACTGAATGAAATAGCCTGTCTAGTATTGGCTAGTCTATAGGACTAATATCTTCCAATAACTGCATAGTTTTAATATCGTTGTTATTGATTGTCTATATTTGTCTTAGTTGTTATCATTACCCTACTATGGCCGTTGATTAAACGTAATGATTACTACCAGCACAATATTTGTCTAGCATCAGAGCCATTAAACGGCGAGAAAATACAACTTGTATTAAGAGTATTGTGGAATAATAATGCCTGACCACAGTTCTTCTCTTTCATTTATCTACGTTTAGCTATTCCTGCATTGTGTTGTAATAAGATCAGCAGTTAACGCGGTAGCCATTGCAATAATTATTCTACAGTCAGAATAAAGAAGCATGATACTACACTCTGTTGCAATAGAGTTCGGATATGGTCATTTTCTATTGGTTCTCATGACGAAAAGTGATTACGCCACAACTCTGGCTGTAAAGTCTTTAGCATTACGATATTAGTCCAATATCCTAGTCAAAGACATAGGATATTGAATTCTTTTCAAGAGAAAATGTTATTTACGGGTCTATTCAATTTTAAGGATAATCATACAGGCAAGCTAGTGTTTACTTGTCTATGTTTAGCTTTTAATCAATCAAACTTTTGTGATGTGATTGATTTAATAAATTTACCATGCTATATTGTTCCCATGTTAGAATCAACAAGAATAATCTGTATATTAAAATGATAAATAAGATATTATCAAGTAAAAGGTACAAGTATAGTATATGAAGTAGAACGAGCGAGAAATCGACCTTGTATTAAAAAATAATAAATTGTAAATTGTAACAATCAAATTGGGCGTACAGACACTTAATAGTACATAATACTATCAATTATAGGAAATTATCCAAACCTAAGTTCGCCGGGATATTTATTAGTATATAACGTAGCACTGTATATCGGATAACATACCGACAATAAAAAATGCTAGGTAACTAGATGTGTTGTATACTGTAATCAGTCAGGAACTACTCAATCCAAAAATTCCTCTAACCGATGCCATGTACTCTGTAAGCCAAGGTCCCGAATAACAGAATTATACTTAGCAAATCTAAATAGTAATGAAGGCTGTAACTAGGGTAAAACAGGACTTTCAGCAAAATGAGGAGAAATTTGGGTTTGCCCATCCAAAAGTCTGTCTGAAGAGTTCTAAAATGGATCATTTACTCTAGGAACCTGCAGTATCTGAAAAATTGATTCATTATCCGGTGTCGATCACTATACTGTACAAGGTTCGATTTCATAAATATCAATCAAACGTGTTTGCTATACTCTTATAGGCGACCCGTCTTAATTTCATACTTTGTACTTTAAATTAGATGATCATGGTGACAACTGATAACTATCCTATACTATTGCTGTATTTTGAATACCGAAATAGAGCAAATAGTAATGAACAGTAGTTCAACGCGCACTATACGTAAGCGTCGTATATAAATAGGAAAAATATGATATAAGTATAAACTAAATACAATCCATAAGCCCCAAAAATACTAAAATATATGTATCAGATCTTAATATTTAGTCGATATAAATATTTCCGCACAATGATCCAGAAATAGCATGCATTGATTATATTGTACCATAAATATAGAGCTGAAGTATTTGTATAGAATTCTGCCACGTAGGAGATATCATATATAGAATTTGATACACTAATATGTGGAATACGAGCGATATGTATCCATATTATATACTATTCATGGATGTTATTCAGACCAAATTTTTATATAAGGTTATTACGTATTACAAATTATATAGAGGAAAAATAATCATGATATGATATGAATATAGACTCAATATGCAAATGTAGTGCAAATAGAACGATTATATTAAATTACCCAGATAACTCTTCCATTATTGCAGACTCACACTGCAAAATGAAACACTAAAATAACGTTAATATGATCTAAATGCACGCACGGTATAGGTGATGATTGCAAACAAAAATAATCCAAAAATTTGGTCTAAATATAGGCGTATAAATTAGATCTTGCTGTATAAACTGTACTTTGTATACTTGATGTAAATGCCTCCTTACAAACTATCGTATAGTCGAAGATTTGCTAAAAATAATTAAGAGGAAATACCTATATCAGCCAATAGGTGTTTCTACTTTATCTGCAAATAGATTGCAATAAAACAGAATAAAACTTCTGTCGTATGTTTAATATACTGTATAGCATTTACACTTTTGAAAGGAATTGTCTAACAATGTATGTCTACGTGATTCTAATTATACGTCATCATGCTTCTCTACTCGACCATGGCAACAAAATACTAACAGGAACTTTTCGATCCCTTCTTTACCCGGATGAAAAATTGAAAAAGCAGCGGTATTAACTTAGTAAGCTAATAAACGCTACAGAACTTTACGTGTACTTCGGCTATTAAGAGCTATCTGTCAATTTTATAGAATGGTATGTCAAGCATTTTTACTGTTAAATTGCAATGAAGTTCGAAATTCTAATAAAAATTTAAACTTAGGATATCGATGCATTTTATCTTCGATACGTCCGATAGAAGATTACGCATACACAGAAAATCTTTCGTCGTTGCGAATAAACAGAAAGCCTAATTGAATTATAATGTAGGCATTTAAACCGGCATAAATCCATAACCTAACTCAAAATATTTCTTACCGTACTTGTCTAAAAATGGAGTTCAACAACTGAAATACTGATGATAACATTTGACAGGTCTATCAAATGGTAATACTATCTGTTAAATGAGCACATTATCGTAAACCGTCAGCAAAGCGACGGGAGTTTGCACTAGTAAATCATAAAAGTCCTACTTCTAATACTGTTATGAATAGCTATGTATAGGACAGCAGAGCTAAATACAAGTATAAAGCTCACTGAAACTCATTTTATGGCAATGTTAGACATACCATATCTTGTATCTGATGACATAAACAGGACCAAATAATATTATTAACGGATGGAAGGGTGCTCATGCTTAGCAGCATGAAAAATATTCTTGATCGATTATGTTCCATGAGTATAGGACGAGGTATACAGTACACGGTAGACAAACTATCTTAAATTGACAGAAATAAATTTGGCTTTAAAATTGCCAATGACATAGATATTATTATAGGTAATCTGCAGAAGGTGTGCAAATCCAGACCAGTCTTTTCGCCATGAAATAGATATGCCCAAGGTTCCGTAGGATGGCTAACTGCTAATACTACTATATAACAACCTTCATACAGTATAATTAATTTTGGTCGTTGAATAGAAATATCCTGATTACTGATGCTAACGCGCTATATAACAGATTTATACCAGTAAGAGAGCGATTTTTTAGAGAGATCTGAAGTAGTCTACTTCGATTTTAATTAATTTGTAAGATCAATAATCAACATATAAAAGCTTTGATTTGTTTTAAGATGAAACCTTTCATAAAAGTTTATGTAGAGGATGATACATTATTCCACTTTTGTAGGGAACAAATGATAAAGGAAGGCTTCCCTCTGACTCATTTTCACCTCATCAAATACAGTAAATTTATCAATCAACATCGGTTAGATTAATTAAATTACTTCATTTTAAATTATAATCACCCTGAATCACTGTAATGATTAGTAATTACCACTAGCTGACTCATTAATCAATCACCATCATGAACATTAAGATCGCTAATACAAGTAGGATAATCTCTACTGATGACTCATCAGCTATTCTTTTATCATACTCTATCACCAATCTTCATCTAAATTACTGCTTGCTTGTCAATAAATGTTACTCATTACAAGTCAATTTAGAGAATTGAAATAGTCATCTGCTATGTTGATTTGATTTTCAACTATTTTAATGTTATTCGGAATCCATAGCATTCCATTACGGTATCCATGTCAGCAGACTGGTAAACTTGTCAGTAGACGCGATACGGACTACTTAATTATTGACAGATGTTGGTCACGAGATATTGTTATGCAATAAGTAATCTATTGTCGTAACTTTATTACTGCAGCCTAAGATTCTTCTCATTACATCTATTAAAGAAAGATTCAATTGAATTTATAACAAGCGGCAGATGTAGATAGTCAACGCGATAGCATATATTAAATTAATGGCGATCGTGGAGATAAAGTCAGACGTAATCATAAATCGATTGAGATGATCGATTAGTCAAGTTACTTTTTTCTTGCTATTACATACTATGCGATGGTATATTGCATAGCGATAGCATTAATAAGTTAATCAATTCAATTTCCGCTTCATTCTATCTAGATATAGCTCAAGATTTTAAGATTGAACCAAATTTAAAATGTTATCAACTATCCAGCTCCTGTCTGATTTTCTCTGTAACCATGACAAATTGACAACGTATGGAGCTTTTTTTACTCTAGTATCCTATCGACTCTTTCACTATTTACCTCACTGAATACAAAACTGATTTGTTATTGTTGAGATTATACTGATGATATTGAAATTTATATTATTCTGCTAAATTGTACTCAATTTATGAATTTGGAAATCATAACGTGCAATCAAAGGGGTTAAAAAATGGTACAAATGATCTCAAAAAGAAAATTTTCTGTGTTATGTAAGGATGATACCGCTTTAATAAATAAGAATAATGTTGATAACGAGCACAGTAGAACTTTTGTATCGCTAATATAGAGACTAGATTTCATCAATCCTCGTCTAAAGTACTGTACAAGCAATGGCTTCGCTTAAAAGTACTTTATGGACATTTAAAGACTATTATGTTTACAATATATTGATTCTTTAATGGCGAATTAATTGAGCATGACTCATATTCAATGCTTTGTATGCTAGTTAATTACCTCCATTGAGTCATCGTACATAAATTATATCCTTAATTAACATAAATTAGGACCACTGCTTATCTTATGAAATACAATTTGGTCCTTCCATTTAGTAGAATACTGTTGTTTATTTAGTTACCGCTTGTAAGCTACGGTGCTTCTATTCATTCTACTGTATACTTTCCATAATTCCATTAAACACTCTGTTCAGCGGTTGTAAGAAGCAAGGGAACGAAATATTCTTCTATTTTATCGCTGATTGCTTTAAATAATCATATTATAAATCGATAAACTACAGCTTAACTTGACTACTTTTTAAATCATGGTTTTTATATATCGAATGGCACTGTTGTTTTGGATTAAAATCCCACGAACTGACGACGATGTCGAATAACATCCATGACTACCGCAAACAAATGCTGTTTATAGCATAGCTTTAGTTCCATCCACTGAATGTTGAAAGGTACTATACTGTTAATTCCGTTCTGTTGGAGTAGCCTATCCTATCCAATACGAATTTGTATTTCTATATAGGCGTCATGATTGCTATCTTCGTCATTATACATTTTAATAGCTGGGATCATCAATTATTTAGATTATTCATAATTATTAATTGTTACGTCATTGAGTTTCGATCGATTATTTCTAATAAAATTTTCCAACAAATTAAGGTTAGGATGATAATAAAGCTATAGACTAGGGCGATAAAAGAATGCAGCTAGTAGTCTTCAGTATTTACAAATGTCAATTCATTGATAGCTTATTATATGGAAACCTTATAACTATCTTAACTGTCCAGTTAGGTGGGGTGCAAGAAATATATAATAATTAATATAAAGTAGAACTTACCCCTGGCAAGATTGTCGTTACTTTAATTTCGTATACGATAAAGCGATGTTTAAATACAGATTGGCCAACTTTTTTAGGTAGAGCACGCTGCAAAATATTGGAAAAGTTACCCATACTTCGTACAGATATTGGCGTGACACTTAATTGCAAAGGAGTATCTAAAAATTTCAACAACAAGCCAAAAATGCTTTATTTTTAAACTGTTACCACTACAGACGTTAAATGTACATTCATATTCTAGATCAATTGTAAAAAAAACTTAGTATCTTGGTTACAGCTAAATTAGAAGCTATCGTTAACTCTAGTTTACATAATAGTAGAAAAAATTGATTGGATGATTTTCAATTACCAATACTCCTAGTAAATAAAGTTCATACAGCTACACCCCACTTTAATTGATATTAGCCCGCATGCGATTTTTAATTAATATTCAGATTCATATGAATATTTGAAGCCATTATCAATTAATAAAATGAATTTAAAAGCATTTAAAATAAAGTAACGCAGATAAGGGTAAGCTTTATTTGGTAGAGAAATAGGCTAAAATACTAGAATTATATCACTAAACGAGTGTAAGGCAGTTGAAATAGTTAAACATTTAATTTCATTCTAGTAATCCTCAGTAAACTTGTCTTCAAACTGATTTCTATGCAAATGTTCCGTAGGCACTTTTCTGTTAGCTTTGAATTATACGTTCTAAAGAATAAGGTATTTTTACGGTCTCGCTGTGATTTAGACTCGAGGACAGTATAGTGAGTTAGGTTCGATTTTCTACTATTTTCTGTTTCCTAAGTGTCACGACATTTACTTTATCACAAAGCATGATTGATGACCGTCCTGGTATAAATAAAACTACTATCTACTATGGCTAATAAACTACCATACTCGATGATTCTAATTGGATAATATTACCCTGTGTATCATAAAATCGAACCATTATTGGAAACAGGATTGCACAGCTATATCTCACACAACGAGGCTCGATGCATATCATTCACTATCCAGGTTAAAACCAATATTTAAGTTGTTGATGGTAATTTTGATTAGTAAACTATTGTGGTCGAAATATACGGACTTCAAAATATATCCTATTCAACCAACGCGGAAACTAACATTGCAAATCATTTAGGTATTCTATTCGAACTATATATTCATTTACTACCCTGGTTAAAGCTACAATGAAGCTGTTGTTAATCAAAATTGCTAAACTATGGCGTTCAACAATTTCGATATGATCATTATAGAAACTGATGCTATAACGGAAAATAAGAATTGAATAACCATATCGTATACTGGCTGAATATGTACGCGTATAATTCGGTATCTTAGTTTAAATTAAAGAGCATGTCTATGATAGGTAATAAATTAATGGATATAGTCCATTTCCATTAGGCATTTTGAATTGAGAGGGTGGATTATAGTAATATATTCGCAAATCAATTCACATCTAATCATATAAAATAATATTTGAGAGCAAGATGAACAGCCATGATAGATTTTTGATTGTTATTGTCATCATGGGTTAAAATGGTAATAATATTGGACAGTACATCAAATTCATGATGAATCTTCCAAGTCGTGTAGGATTCTATAACATTATTCTAGAAATGGCCTAGGTAGAGAATTGTACGTAATCTACGCAAACAGTAATCCATAAATCTGTTCAATAAATAATTTATAATCTATGAGCTAATATGATTTGGTACTTTCTCAACGAAATACTGTATGGTTCATTGATTGCTACTATCCTATAATCCTGTCTAATCTAAATATTTCTGACAGCTATTGATTGCTTGTAGGCAAAATTAAATTACGACACAACATAGAAATGAAAAATGAAGTCTAATTCTACCTTGTTTTAGGACTTGTAAATTTTCTTGTATCTGTGAAATACTGGCAATTAATTTATCCGTGTTATCCGATAATGAAACCGATAATTGCTTGGGGGATTCGCCCATGTCCTGGTCAACAGCAGGTAGCTTGGATTCTTCCGATTGAGGCTGACTAATTTCTAGTTGTAGATTTTTTTTCCCTTCTTTGCCTTGGCTTTTCTCTTCCTCTTTCTCTTCTTCTTTCTGTGATTCTATAGAATCTTTATGAATAATAAGCGGTATAGTTAATTCCTGGCTGGAATGATAACTCATTCGTTTCATGGTTGGCGGTTCGACATCATCGTTAACGCGGCTTAATTGCTTCCGTGAGCTGAATAATTGTACCATATCGGCACAACTTTGTCGAAAAACAGTGGATGTATTAATATCTAACGTCGTTGTAGTCTTATTAATCTCGTTATCGATCGATTGGCTATCCACTTGTCCTAATAGGTCCACTTTTAAGCCTAATTTGGTCAAATCTTCTTGGGTCATGACTGCCGATGAGCGCACATCCGATAGCGGTCTTAGGGTTAAATATTTTTCACGGCCAATTTTTCGATAGGTCAACTTGTTATTATTCTCCATCACTTTAGACATTGAATTATCACGAGCTAATGTCAAGACATGATTAGCATGAACAGAATCGAAGGAACAGGTTCTATTATGGATATAAGTCGGTGAATTACTATCTATATCATCGGAAGTGATGTTGAATTCGTTGGATACTTTGCCATTGCCAGAGACTGATTGCACCACATCTAAGCTAGAACTTTGTTTCATTAGGATGATACTAGGGATTCTAGGATGGCAGATAGGGCTTAAAGGTGGATCTGCAACTTCGCTTTCTGGTGGTAATTTCAATTCTTTTGTATCGATAACTTTGTCTAAACTTTTCTTCTTGTTAATGTTGATGTTACAAGGAAGAATATGAGCTGATAAATCTTCGTTATTTCCTTGTAATCGAGTGGCAGATGGGACATCATGACAGCTACGTTTCTGTTCTTGGTGACTGTCAGGAAAAGTCTCATTTTGATCTGTTGATCGATTACGATCATCGTCATCATGATTTACAATAGTAGATCGATCAGCTATAGCAACACTGGGAGGCTGAATAGTCGTATCTTGCTTGCTATGGTTGGAGCTTTTCTCGTCGGATGTGATGGATAAATTTGCTGGATCGGGAAGGCCATCGGTATTAGCGACATGATTTGGATCTAATAAAGGTGGCTGCGATGTCAGGATATCACCTTTTCCGCTAATATCATCCGTTGGATAAGGCAATGATAAATGAAAACTACTTCGTAGACCAGATTGCCTACTGCTGCCACAAGATGGCTCAGGAAGCATAGCCCAATTTAATTGTTGTTGCCTAACTGGCGTGAAAATGATGGAATGAATCACTGGGCTATCGCCGTTTTCGCATTCAACTGCAGCTTCCATTTTCCAAGTTAATCGTTGAATAGTTTCAATAATTTTCTTCACTACATCTTTGCTTAATTCTTGGCTTACGGTATCGATCAACGGCGGTAATGTCGATGCTGCTAAACTGATGGTTTTACCGGCAATTTCATGGTGATAAATTTCATCTATTATACCTAAATAGAATCAAGATTATTATTGCTGCGTTGAGTATGCACTTATTTGCCTTAATTAATTTATCTACTCTTTGTGCATAGATCGATACTGCAATAACAGTATCATGCTATTCGTGGCTAAATATATATATCGAATCCATCAGTTTTAAATTAAAATGACGATAGAAAAGTAAAGCTGTGTTGAGTATGCACTTTCTTGCCTTAAATTTCTACTACTTATGCATAGACTTGTACTGATAATATCATGCTATTCATTGCTAAAATAAATATCGAATCCATCAGCTATACAATCTACGTCATTTAAAATTGAAATGGTGATTAGTAAAGCTGTATCGAGTAGGCACTTATTTGCCTTTATAATCTCCTACTTTCTCCGTAGGTCGATACTCTTCTGATAGTATTACGCTATTCATTAATGCAACTAGTTCGATTTACTAGTTGGACAGTTTCTAGCCAAGAAGATTGACTTAATTCAGTAATATCGTAAAGGATACAGAATGCCTTTTAAGTTGAGTAAATTGAATTTGCTATTGAGTTAGAATAGTATTCAGGGTATCGAGGATATTTTTCAAGCAGTGTATCAATTAATAAAATCGATCCTATCTCATAGCATAAAACCCTAAATATCCTCCATCATAATATCCCTATAATATCATAACCTTCATCGATATCGTAGATCAGGATGCAATTATTAGCTTCATAAGAGATAGCGATATTTATCCATCAATTTATATACCATAATAAATTATCATAATCTCCAACGTTTAATGGGATATTCCTAAAGGAATTTATCTGTACTTATATAGTAATAGATTATTCTATGTACTTTATGTCAATCAGAAAACTGTAATTAAGATGACCTGGTGCCCATGACAGGATATCCAACAATATAAAAGCTCCACGAAGATGCAGTATATAACAATATAAAATATCAATTATTGGCGTAGAATATCTAACAAGGAGTTAGGCTACAATAGATTAGAGCCTTCCGTAATAATAGTAGATTATGGAAAGATCTGATAGTTAAGGAGGCTATAGCATAATATTGTCATAGTCATCACAGAATTCATGAAAGAGTAATCAATTTGAAACCATATTATAATTATATGTTATACCTTTACAACTTTATTATATTCATTACTCGAATGCTAGAACTAAAGACCTACCATTTATTCCGTTTATTTTCTATTCTAACATTTTTAATAATGTTAAGTAATTATTCAATTATTGCCTGAAGCATAAAGTAGCAGTAAATGCAACTAGAGAAGTGAAATGGCTCTACATAAAATTGAACCTTTAAAACAAAGTTGTTCACCTAGGAGGTTATTAATCAACGATCGTTTAATCCTTAACTTCGTCTAATTATAATTATTGAACAATCAACCCTTAACCGTCAAGAATTTCAGGAAACGCATACTAGATTTAATCCAATGCCATCATTACTATGTAATCAGTGGGAAAGCTTTATGGATTTTATTTACGATATTCCTTATCAGTAATTCATAAGTATTAATATACTAAATTCAGTCCTATATCAATATCTGTAATAGGAAGCTCCGTTAGACTTATTCGGAAGTAGTAATAAATAAAACGAGGGATATAGATATATCTACACAAAATTTAACCTTTTAAAATATACGTAAAGTTGTATATCTATGAAATTATTAATTAACGATCAATTAATCCTTAACTTTGTCTAATTATTTGATATTCTATGTGAGTGATCAAATATCATTTCCATCAACCCTTAACTCTCTGAGATTTCAAGCAGTGCTTATTAGATTTAATCTAGTGTCATGTCGGCAGCAGGAAAAACTTCGTAGATTTTTTATTAGAATATTCTTTGTCGGTAATTTATAAGTAGTGCACTCAATTCAATCCTATATCTATCTCTGTAATAGGGAAATTCTGCTGAATTTATTCAGATATGCAGTAATTTTAGGAGATATTTAAGCCTTACTAGTTAGAATCTGTGCTAGCCAGCAATAGAGAAATTTTATCGATTTCTACGATGCGTAAACACATATGATGTATAAAGTGATAAATGAACCAGATTGGATTGGATTCTTTTAGTATATCGGACACAAATTCCACCTGAAATTTATGCTAATCCATAAGATTCCCTTTAGTACCAGTCATTTTTGTGATAAACAATGATAAATTATATAGCTTAACACCTACCAAAAGTAAAGTGCAAACTTAATCCTTTTTAGTTAATCATTTTAGTGTATATTGACACCAATTTTATGACATTGTGTGAACTATTCTGGATTCTTATGCTATCTTTTAATGCCTTAGCCATTTACTCAATTTATACTGTAAAGGGTTGGAATAAATCACCATATAGCTCTGAGCTTATTAATAAATAAAATTTTCACTATTTAAAAAAGTTATTATTTGATAAGTCACTCGTTTACATTAAAATGGATATCAGGTAAGTAAGTTCAAAATTAATGGAATAAATTAACAACCTACCTTTCATTCACATCTATATTCTCTAATCTATTCGTAAAATAGTTTTTCTAGTCCTACAGGAAACTTATATTACCGCTGTATCTTCAATATATCAGCCAGAACTAGTACAATGCTAATCAATTTTGAACTAAAAGTAGGAGTTTAAACAACTTTACAACAATAACTTTGCATACAAAAAAATACAATATGGGATTTAATATAGGAAATTAAGAGTCTATGTTAATTCTGATTAAGGTTCTTTGATCGATAGAATTTTGGGAGATTGTTGAGCAATCTTATAAAGGGTAAAAAAGGCCAGCATTAAAGTTAATCAATAAAAATTAGACAGTCCCATAATCAATAAATACTAGACTGTTGATGATGAATTGCATCATTTCTATCTCGTTGAAATTCCATTACATAAATTAATTCTAAGTTAGTATGCAAAGCTGATATACGAATCAAGAAAATGGGTTTTATAAAGTTCGATTTAGTTGGAGATACAATTAAGATAGACTCATCGAATTCTTTTCTCGGTATTTAAATAATCCTAATAAACTATAATCGTAAAACTTGATTGATAAGATTGGAGTAATAGCATTATTATTAGTTAGTCCTTTACTCAGTTATCAAAGCAGCTATATTGGTAACAAAAAACAAAATATTGCATCGGATCATAAATTTCCGGAAAGATCGCTAAAACGAAAGTAAAAACGACTGAATATAATTAGATTCTATCCATGATATATTTCAACGTTTTCTTACCCCACGGAACGCTATCAGTATCTTTGTGATCTTTTAGTAATGCTACTGCTTGTAGATCGATTGCTGCCGCAGAATTTTCCTGTTGAATTTGAAGAATGGTTTGCTCTACTTGGCATAAATTTAGCATAATCCGATATAGCTCTTCTATTAATTGAATAATTTTGTTGACTCTCGGTTGATAATAACTTGAATTAATTTGGCAATCATCTGTTAAGCTTTTATAACATAATTGACAGAAATCAAGTAAATCTTGGCAAATAGGAATAAAATCTTCATAAATAACTGCAGAACGGCGTTGAGTTATTAATTGGCCGATAGAACATGAGTCATTAGTGCCTTGGTCTTTCCATTGTCGATAAACTTCTAATGCTTGCTTTGGATCCTTTTCCATCGGTAAACTTGCAGCCATGTTAATTTCTAGATGTTTAACCGATTGTTTTTCCTACTAGTTCGATAAGCTCTACGAATGAAAGAGAGGATAGTATTAATTGAACTTAGCTGATTGGCGATAAGTAGATAGTTTCTACTTTAAGCAATTTCTGTCTGCAATACTGTAAAATGATTGTAAATGATTCCAATATGAGAATGAGATAAAACTAAACAAATAAGACAAAATAACGCAGTTTATTCCTACCCGATTATCTTAAAACACGATAGTATTGATTTAAATAGTATAGAATGTTGAATTTTAAAAGAAAGGGTAAAGTCAAAACATTACACTTTATTGATCAGTCATCAAAATGAATATTAACTACGAGTTTGATTTATTATATTAATGATTGTGATGGCTGTTATTTTTACGTTAAGTGTGAAATTCCTAACGAGGATTGAATAACAGGGCAGCCTTATATTTTATTTTTAACCCCTTAAGGTTCAATGTTGATTATCGCTCGGTATATTATTTGGAACCAAAGGACATTTGTTGTCTGTATCATCAATACTTAGATAATAAAAGATTCAAGGCTATTTTGTAAAATAGTAAACATCTATACAAATGTAAATTAAAGCAAATGACATGAAAGAAAATAAAAATCGTATTACTGCTGAATATCAACGTTGAGATAATTTGTCAATTTAAATAACAAAGAAATTTTTCTAGGATTGAGGAAGTCGAGCAGTTCGATATTATCCTATTTAATAAAAACAACCGTATCTATTATCCTTAAGATAATATTATTTGGATAGAGATCGATTGAGGACATAATTTACATATAATAGGCACAAGAGAAAAGCTATGGTATGCAATGAATCTTCAAGTCCGTAGACAAAATTATGGATGTAAGTTAATCATGAATTGAAAACAATCTCATATTGAAATAGCAAGAGACGATCAGTATCTACATCAATTAAAAAAGACAGAGGAAAATTATATTATGGGTACCAATTATGGACATATAACTTTTAAATATCATTGGAGACTTCGAATGAGAGTCTATTTCATATTAAACTGGAAATTCTGATGACTAGTAAGAATATAGCGTGTGATAAGTAAAAATTTCAGCAATAAATTATAGCTGCTAGTTATGAATATAAAACAATTAAACTTCTTTTAAATAAGTAGCTTGATATATCGTCATTGGAATAGAAGAGTATGCATACTCGTAATAAGGTATGTTGTCAGATAATATGTGCATCAAGACTCATCTGTAAGTAATAATCAAGACTATAAAACAATTAAATACCATTTGAGAATTAAATTAAAGATCTATTTTTATATCAATTAAGAAGTAGAAAAAATAGGTAGATAGCAAATGATACGAGAAAAATTCTAAATTCTTACCAAGAATAAATTGTAGATGCTAATTACGAATATGTGATAATTAGATCTGTTAGAATAAGTATATTTACGATAAAGTATATTTCGTAGTATAGTATATCTTCGAATAATATCCGCCTCAAATGTAGTGTATAACTGGGAAACAATTTCAATATTTGGATAAATGGAATGAGGGTAGATTTTAAATAAATCAGTAAAAATGGATAGAAATAATGGTTTATCATACGACCTAGTTTTAAAATATTATCAAGATTATACTCTTATAATTATAATAGACGTTATCGTAATTGTAATATGATCAGATAGGAATTGAATAAATAGGTGAGCAAATTGAAGAATACGATAGTACTACCGATAGGATATTATGTAAACTATAACCAAGAATGAATTCTAGTCATTGGTTATGAATATAAAGCGATTAAATATTATCTAATTAGCTAATTAGGTTAGTTAAAGACTAATGCTTTCAAATCATTTAAGATGTGCTGGAAGTAGTAATGGTTTAATACAATTTTCAAACCGACATTCCAAATAAACTAGAGCCGCTAGTTACGAACATAAATTGTCATATAGCATTTGAACAGACTAATAATTTAGTTCTCGGAAAGATCTGAATGCTAGCGATGATCCGACATAATGTAAATATAATGCTAAGAATAGCTTTTTAAAAACCAACTATAAACCTAAGCGATTAATAATTAGCACTATAAATTTATTGTATTGTGACATCATGGCTATTACAGCAACCTAGAAATCATGATACTACTATTGTTTTTTACTGCCATTAATTGAGGAGTTTTATCTACCGCATAATGTTGCCGGTCACTACCTTAGTTTAGTTTACTGAAACGTTAACATCCAAATAAATATTCATTACATTACGTAATTACATAATTAGAATTAATTATATTAATTAGTAATCTTTAAATATAACATTCCAATATTATTCATAGTCGAAGAAATATTTAAACTTTTAGAATCCAAAAATTATATTACTATATCATAAAGACTTGTAAAACTGCACTTAACTCTTTAATTTTCATGTTTACTTTAATCAATTTTATGATCAAAGGAGCAATATAAGAATCTTTAACTTAAACTCATTATTCTTTAAATAGTAATCCTTGGATTGAATGCTAATTTTTAATTAAATGTTCTATTTTAATCATATTATAATTTAAGAAAACAACTTCGTATTACATCATTTAAAAGTACATATTGTAGAAATGATGTAATGGGGCTTTTCTAAGATATTTGACCTATTTAGATAAGTAATCATAATTTAAAAGATGTTATTTGAAATTATGAAACTAAATAATTTGCTAATTTAGTACAAGTTATGATTTATTTGTCATCTTGTTAGAGTTTAATGTATACTGTTTGATAATATTCTCTAAAATTATGTCCGAAGACTGACATATCACAAGTATTAATGAAACTTGATAAATTTTATAGCCAACTAATATTATTATAAAGTTTGTTAGTCCTCAAAATTCAAAATATTAAATAAATTACAGTATTTTTTACACTTCAGCAAATATCACAGCTATAAGATTGCCTTTTCAGTTTTATTCTCCAGCATATCCACAGATTATGATAATTAATTATGAAGATATCCTTTCAAAATTGATAAAAATTACAGTTTAAATATTGGTAAGCTCGTAATAATATAATGATATTCAAGCATAAGCTATTTGTTTTTTATCTATTTTACATGTACTATAGATTGTGAATAGTATTAATAAATGATTTTATCATAAGTATTAAACAACTTTCTTGAAATAGTCAGATATTGGCATCATTTGCCAAGGCTGAGACGTGCTATAATTTTGATATCTCAAGTTAAGCGAGACAATCTTATATTTACGTAATGTTATTCTATTCTCCTACTCCAAGTTTGGTCAACAATTGATACTCTAAATTGCTATTAAACCAACGAGATTAGCATAATTTTGAAGCAATAAAGTGAAGTGAATAATATGTATAATCTATTACGGTATTTAAAGGACTAATAGCATAATATTTTACTGATCCCATAAATGAAAGTAATTAATCAATTAATATTTCATACTATCCCAGAGAGCCGTGTTAGAATATAAAGCATCGTCTAGTATTTAAAACAGCTAATTTTTAATGCTTATCTAAATACAGTTAAGGCTTACGATCTCTAAATTGTAGCTAATTAAGCAGGAAGCTTCTATGTCTATTAATAGTAGAATATGAATTGAAAACCGATCTTGGCTATAACTGAAGTATCGTTGATATTGATACTCCTGAGGGGCACAACAATACAAGTATAGCTATAATCCGTTACATCTAATTTATCTTTTTGTTGATCTGATTATAAATTTCGGACTTATATTTTTGTTGATTAATTATTTTCCAGGTGATTAAGTGCTTATTGTATCTATTTTACTATATAACTAATCAAAATCATGAAGTCTTATTTCATATTTTGTTGAATAATTTTTCTAACGACTAAAGGCCTATTACATTTATTTCATTCTACTATGGAGCTGATCAAGATATAAATTTCTGATTTGAATTTTAACCCATTTTTCAATTTTCTAGTGACTGATGAAATCAAAGTAATAACATTGGTAAATTTTCAAGCGCAATGAACATTCTACATTCCTAAAAGCGTTGCAATATTAAGATTGAGATAATTTATGATCAGTATTTTACCTGAATATTCGTTCAGATAACATCTCATATGTAACAACATAGAGCATTGACTGTTTGCAACTATTCTAGTTATCATTTCTTATTATATGCTGTTGAATACCCGTTGAGTTACTGTGTTGTAGATGGCAACATTAACTCAGTTGTGATCGTAATTGAACGAGTATAGCAGTATAACATCAAATAAAGCTCGCAATTTACTTTTATAATGATTTGTATCAATTATGATTTTATAGCTATCAGCTAGTGATTAAGGTTAAGAAAAGTAATAAAAAAAGACCAACTATAACTTTCTGTAGGACGAATATGGTTCTACTTACCAACAAGTTAAATTACTATAGTTCCCTTTTTACACCTCAAGTAGATAATATTAAGAATGGATAAAGATAAAAATGTTATTAAAGCTTGACCTTGAATTATCTTCGATATTAAAAACCTCCTAGCAGATATAACTCTGTAGTTGACATATAATTTAATTAATTGACGATGCTACTACTACCCATAAAAGAAACTTTAAATGAAATCTCTGCCTACTGGGCTAAGGACCCCTACAAAATAGCGATTTAGTGCCGTAAATCGGGCAGTTTAGTCATATCTAGATGTATGAATGTCAAGTAAATAGCATGGTGCTTGGCATAAGATGCATTTCAGAATCAGTATTTACTAGCTAAACCGGTCTCATTAGGTCTGCTTTCTATTTAATCGGAAATTTCAATTCAATTTACTTTTTTATCGTACTAAAATTAGAATTTTACATAGCTACTTACTCAATATATCTGGAAATACTTGATAATTTGATGCTGATGAGTATTACAACGAATGCTAGAAATTAGGTAGTGCTGAGGAGATAATAATTCGATCTAGAATGCAATGTACAATAATAGAAATGATCAAAACGATATTTTAGGATTCATACCGTATGTTTTTCTTTAGTTACTTCTGAATTGGTT